GGCTCATTTTGTATGATCAACGAGTGTAAAAAAGAGGTGACAGCGCCATACACAGGCCGGCTGGATTTTAAGGCTCTTCTTGTATGTGGACAACACATTTGATAGCTGTGTGAAATTATCACAGTTAGAAAACAAGTGCACAATACTTGGCCAGAGAATCATCTAACAGTATGTAACTTAATGGGTACCTACAGTCAGGAGATGGTGACTAACACAGTCCTCAGGGCAGCTTATGGTGACAAGGAAGTAAGAGGGTGAGAGACGCCCAGGGCATGGTCATGTACTTTCTTACCCTTCCCTGGGATTCTTGGCTGAATGATGGGATCTAACACTTGTTTGGGCAAAGTGCATTGCAGTAATGATTCTTAACCTGAGGAGGGCCACTCCTTAGCTCATGGCAGAAATGGCTGATAATGTCTGAACGGTATTTGCATTGTCACAGCTGGGGGAGTTGTGCTACCAGCAACTGGTGGGAGAAGGACAGGGACTCTATAGACCATCCTATGACACACAAAAACTCCCTTCCCCCAGGCACGCACACAGCATATAATCCACAATGTAGTAGTGCCAAGACTGAGCAGGCTTCCACTGAAGATAAACTACACAGAGACTTTGGTAGAAAGCCCCTGGAGGCTAGCTCCACCAACACCAACAACAAAGTACTGAGAGCACCCATACAGCCAAATGTCTTGGGGTCCCCTATTAATAATCCCAATCATACTGTTCAGAGCAGTCCCAATGATCCTTAACTGAAAGCCTAGCAAAATAAGAATCATTGTCTTTCTCAATGGCTATCAAGCTCTAAATGAGCAATTCAATGTTTTCTCAAAAATTAAAACAAAGTTACCCGAATCCCAGTAAAATCAAAAACCTTTTAAATAAATCAAGTTAGTTAAGAAAATTCACTAACTTAACAAAATCAGCTTTGTTAGGGTCATGATAATCTCTTAAGGAAAATAGAATCAGCTTTGAAACAGTAGGCTTGGCCCAACCAGAGCACTTTAATCCATTATATAAACCACTCGGAATCCTAACTTTGGTTCATCCAAGGTTTTAAACATTAGCTATAACTGGTATAATGATCAACAATAGCTACTATGATTATTACTACTCCCTAGAGAAAGTAATTCCACAGCATCTATACATGATGCCATAGTTGCTGATGAGGCCCTGTAGAGGCACTACCTGACAAGTAGGGCAGAGTGGCACATGTTGACATTGTAATTGCCAAAAATGCACATCTTTGATCAGTCTCCCAAGACCTGACATAATGGCATGTAGACTGGAATAGGGAAATACTGGGGGAGGTGGGGATATGGTATGTAGCTACTGAAACCAACACAGCAAAACAATTCTTACCTAAAGAATGAATATTTTCCTTGAATTGCTTACAATGGCTTCTTTAGGGTTCTTAACAAAGCAGGTCATATCCACATGTAGTCACATTATGAATCTTAGAAGCAGCATGAAGGGGTTTTCAATCTGAATTCTAAGCTATTGAAACCCTATCTGGACCTCTGGGAGAAGACAAATAAAAGGCTTTTTGCGGGGTGATCAGAAAGTCTTGTTTCCCAGAGCCCCCAAAGGGCTTTCTTCTCTGCCAAAGAACTGGTCTCCAATCTCTGGTCATTCCTTTTCTGGATATGGGAAAGCACTCACGACTCAACAAAAATAACAAGTATTCTAAGATAACGACAGTTTTTGGAAATATTTTTTTGTCTTGCCATCAGCACTGCTTATAACTATCCAAATACTGGCTGGGCAGCTTGGGAAGACAGAAAATGTTAAAACTCAAAGGGTTCTATGAAGAAAATCATGTGAGTCAGCCCCTAATTTTGAAAAAAAAAAAAAAAAGTTCACTTAGATAAAATCCATGCTACAAATTACCAGCCTGGTGAATACAGACTTATCCATAGTAACTGAGTAACATTTAGTATGGTTCTTTTAACTGGTACTTACACAGCCATGTAGTCCACCAAGGTGCTGTCAGTAACCTCAGAGATGGGCTTCTGCAGCATTTCCAGATCCGGAAGAGACTTCCAGTCCACGGAAGACCATGAAGGGAGATCTCGCAGGAGAAAAAACCTCCACAGAATGGGATCCCGCACGGTTTCATTCCAGTAATGATTCGTGCTTCCCAACTGACACAGATCGTGCGGGGAAAGGAACGACAGTATATACAGCTGTACGTCGAGCTGGAGCAGGGGCAAGCAGCCGGGAGGGGAAGAGCATCAAAAACGGGTCTCAGGAAGTTGTAGTTTGGGGCGTTATACACCCAACAAAGGTTGCACTAAGGAACTTAGGGCAACTTCCAGCCTGATTTTAATAGTTAGACCTGTCATTATGTAACTGTCTGCCTAGCATCAGGGGGTACAGATAAAAAGAAAACCAAACCAAAAACCACTGCCCATTCTTTCAAGCAAAATAACCAGGTCCTCTCCTCATGTCATCTATTTTATTATGGATATAACTTATTCTTCAAAATGAAAATAAGCCGTTATCAAGCAGAGAGTTTTCTGTTGTCATCTATTAAACCGGCTCCAAGAACCTCTCTATGGGGCAGTATTTCCATGTAGAATGGACGTTTAGTGTGAGTAATCAATAATCCAAAAGTGAAAACAGACTTGAAATAATTTCCACGAGTTTCTGCTCTATTTTCTGAGCTGCCTGAAAAGTATAACAATAAACGTGGCCAATCCTTGCAGCCACTCATCTTCCTGCATTCACTTCTAATACATGGTCACAGCTGCGATATCCTGCTAGCTCTTGGTTTGGGGGACCCCCTCCTGTGTGTTTCAAGCCTCGAGTAGCAGTAATGGTCTCCTTATTTCCCTCAGGTGTCCTAGTCCCCGTGCGGGGTGCCTGTGTTAGGGGTACAAAATCAGGAAGTGATTTGGCTGGCCACCTGCCCAGCTGGGGAGCACCAGGGGTCACTGCCAAGGCCAGTCGGGTACAACTGCATCTTGCTGGTGATGACACTGCCAGGAAGCACTGGGCAGGGCCAGATCCAGGCCCCGGGTCCTGGAGCCCACCCCCTAAAGTTCCCACAAATCTCCTGGGGGGCGGTTCTTCCAGCCTAAGCTCGGCCTAAGCCAGTCGCGGCCCGCGCTCACCGGCAGCCGAGTCAGGGAGCTGGCCTTCTCCTCCTCTTCCGCCTCCTCGCGAGGGGCAGTCCTGGCCACCCTCTCCTTACCAACCGACTGCCAGAAGTTCCTCCAGCCGCTGAGGATGGCGGCTTCCAGGCGGCCCCAGTCGCTGGCGGCCGGCGGCGGGGAGCTGGATTTACTGCGGGGCTCGCTTCCTGCCATGGTCACCGGCCCGGCGCATCACGCGCCGCAGGGCCGCGCCCGCGTGTTCGCCTCTCCCGCCTCTCCCGCCGCGGGGGGAGTAGCGTGTCCGCAGCCGGACCAGGCACCCCTGCAATAAGGTTCCTCACCCTCTTTCATTCCTGGCCCCAGGCTCGGCCACGCCCACCTCTGCCCACACTGTCACACTCCCTGACTTCACCTCTTGGCTGTACTTGGTCGCCCGGGGTGACTCATGCTTTTTCCAAGATCCACTACCACTATGCTGGGCTTATTAGTTGCTTCTTTCTCAGGGATGTGCTTTGTTTTTAATCATAGTTTGTTTGTTTGGCACAAATTGTACGTTGTGCTTGAAAAACTTGTTTTCTCAGGGATTAACAAGAATTGAGACTGGTGATGCAGTAGGAATCACTACAACATAAAGGAATTTGTTAAATGTCCCACCCACAAACCTTTTTTCTTCATTTATTCACATTCCTAAGAATAGAATTTTAAAAGCACAGGATTAAGTGTACTGTTCTTATTGCAGGGCATAAGAAATGGCTGTCTTGGTCTTTCATGATTAATCCTAGATTTTAAGTTAGATGTTATATAACAGTAAATTGAAATATTCTGCAAAGCCAAAAAAATCTAGTCTGTTTACCCAATTCTGCATAATCCACAACATACCCAATTCTTTATTTAAAAAAAAAAAGCTTATTTTTATTGGAAAGGCAGATTTACAGAGAGAAGGAGATACAGAGAGAAAAATATCCTGTCTGCTGGTTTACTCCCCAAGTGGCCACAATGGCTGAAACTGAGCCTATTCAAAGTCAGGAACCAGGAGCTTCTTCCGGGTCTCCCACACAGGTGCAGTGTCCTGAGGCTTTGGGCTGTCCTCTACTGCTTTCCCAAACCATAAGCAAGGAGCTGGTGGGAAGTGGAGCAACTGGGACACAGACTGGCACCCATATGGAATCCCATGTACAAGATCAATATTTAGTCACTGAGCCATTGTGCTGGGCCAACAAACCCAGTTGTAAATAATGTATCACCTTATAATTGGTCTCTGAGACAATTTCTGAAAGCCCTGTGAAAGACCAAATGACTGTAACGGACACCTGTGTTGACAAGAAATAACTACCTGGATTTTAATAATATCATTCTTTAAATTCTTAAGTTACTCTTCTTATTCTACTGTGCTTAAAGATAGGACATTAAAAGGTTAATTTACATAGAATCATGGAGTTAGATAAGGACAGGGCTATCAGTTTAAACTGAGACCTCAGGTTACCAAGTCCACATACCAAGCACTGTTCTAACCTGAAAGTTCCTAGGACCTGAGCAAGTGACCAGTTGGGATAATAGGGGGTTATTGTGGCAGAGAAGGTAAAACCACCATCTGCACTCCAGCATACTGTGAGTGCAGCTCCAATCTCAACTCTGTTTACAGTCTCTGTTCTACCGATAGCCCAGCTCCCTGCTAAGGCCCCGGGAAAAGCACTGGGAGATGGCCCACAGACCTCAGCCTGGCCCATCCACAGTGCTGCAGCTACCGGGGGACCAAACCATCATATGGGTGGTTTCTCTGTCTCTCCCTTGCTTTCTCTCTCTTCACCTGACTTTACATAAACAAAACCTTTTCAAAAGTCAGGTTAATAAACTGAGATGGTAAAGATTTCATTCTGACATAACCACCAAATACAGAACACAGAAAAACAGAGGAATATGGTTTTTATTATTTTTTTAATGTATAGGTTCCAACACTGTACTTAGAAATTTCCACAAGTAGGAAAAACAAACTAAACAGTAAAGAACACCAGCATGAATACAAATTCCATTCTGCACTTATGACTATATTAAATGTATATTAACATAATACTTCGATAACATGGCCTCATCTCCTATTGTGTTCTAATGTACACACAGGGAAGGAACTGAGGGAAAACTATAGAATCCTCCATTCCGTGGCAGAAGGGGCACCCTTATTGGAGCCAGAAAAGGGTACCCAAAAGGTGGAGAGAAAAAGACACTCTAACTCTAGCATGTAACCTAGCTGTAGGGTTTTTAAATTGCCATTAAAATGAAATCTGGAAAAGCCTGCAGTCAGACACAGCTCATGGTGTCTGTCTTTAGTGAACGAACAGAAAAATTCACAATGAGACTGGGAAGCCAGGGATATAATTTTTATTGTGCGATGTTCTCTGTGATTTTCACCTCACTGTATTATGCTCAAAAGGATAAGGAAAAGTCTTCAGTCATGACTTTCACCTCAAGTGGGATCAAATGGCAGTTGGATTCCCTCTCAGGGCAACAAAGCAGGCAGAGCTTAACTATGTCTGAAAGCCCAGTTAACATCAGAAAACCCTTCTTGGGAAAGAACAATACAAATGGAAGGATCCTTTAACAAGAGTTTGGTAACCACCAGAGTTCAAATCCAAGAGAAAGCCCAAGTGTGAGAGCACAGCAAGGCCTCAGGTTATCAGACACTCAGTAAAGCACACACTGGACAGAATGCCTTAATTCACTGTTAGAACATCCATAAGAAAAGATGCAGTAAAAATACAAGGCATTAACCCAGGGGGTGGAATTCAAAGATGCCAACTGGCAAAGCAGCAGAGCTTCTTAGTGCCTCCCCAACCTCCCTATATACAACACCCACTCAATGTCATGATTCCCTTTAGTTTGCTTTATTCTTCTTTGTGGTACTCATCACTCGGCCGTGTCATACAATTATTTGTTAAAATGTTTGAATTTCTTCCACTAAAACACGAGCTCTGAAAGAGCACCGTGTTTCACAATGCTACAAGCATAGCCTCACTGTCCAGGACACAACGTGGCACACGTAGACACACAACTGTTGAACTGTGGTACTCTCTTCAGGTTGAGCAGTATCTTGGGGTTACTCAGACTAAATCAAACAATTTACTTAACGGCCTTGACCTCTTACAAAAATGTGTTGTTCTTTGCCTTACCATGCAAAGAAGGAACAAATATTACTAACTATTGGGGTCTATAAATGTTGCCCAATTCTTTGTGGTTTGGAAAGTTATAGGAAAAGCACCCAATAAAGCCCTCAAAACTACCAACTCAGTGTACCAGCCAACTGTTACTGAAACCCAAGCAGTCCACAAGGATCATGAAGGCAAAAATCTAAGTTTTCAGATTCTGAAAAATAGTTCTCATTTTTTCAGAGTTGGAATAATCTAAGTAACCCAGGACTCGGCTCAGGGCTGTGTTTAACTGCATTTGTCCTGGCAGGCACTGACGGCTTACAGATCTGTGGTTGCCTTGTCAGGCATGGCAGTTTGGAGTCAGAAAGCAGCAACCTTTTTGTGCCATCTGGCACTTTAAAATCATTCTTCATGAATTAAAACACACACACACACACACACACATACACATACACAACTAAGTGCCCATTGTGTATTAAACATTGTACATAAATGTAAATTTTTAAAATATGGAATTTACCTATTGGTAGTAAAAATAATTACAAAGCAATGTGATCAGCATAAAATAGGAGAGGAAGACTATGGGAACCAAATGCGGAGTAGCAAAGATTGGCTGGCAAAGGCTGGAGAGAGCCTCTGGACATGATTTCACTGCAGCTGAGTCCTAAGATCAAGTACTCCCTTGCAGCAAAGAAAGATACAGAAGTCATGAAATCTGCAGCCACATTAAAAAATCAAAAGGCTCTGAAGAAGATAAAAATTGCTGGGGGAAAAAAAAACCGTTATGAGTTACTGAAATTCGTAATTTCAGAAGGAGCAACTCAGGATGCTCATGTTCAAGGTGATCACAGGAGTCCATGGCATACCCGCTGGAATGTGATACAGTCACTGGGCCAGAAGACCAGGATAGCAGAGAGCAGGAGACAAAGCGTGACAACTGGAACTGAGGTAGAAAGACTGTAACAGAAAAGGTTATGCTCTCTGGCCTTCAGCACTCAAAGCTACCGCTAAAGACAGAAAACAGTAGAACTACAATACAGCAGGAAGAAATGAGCCCTAAAAACAAATGAACCAACGGTGAACTAACCTGACTTGGTTTTTATCTTCATTTTGCACTTGAGAAGCCATATACTTTAAATACATGTCTAAAAGTAAAATTTTTCAACTTGATGAGCAATGCACGACAAAATCACTAACCACTCTAATTTCTTAGTAGAGTCTTTCACCAGTTACCTTATTCAAATGGGGTCTAATACTATCCGTCTTTCATTTTTGCTACATTTCTATAGTATGTATTCAAAGTACTGAGGTAACTTGATTTTGATCTCTGAAGCAAACTTCAAACAGGGTGACTGAAAGATTATCTTAGGATTGTTCAAATGGTAACAAGTTAAATATATTTCAAATCACAATAAAAAATAAGGAAAACAACTGTGTAGAGTTGAATTAGTGACAGGACATGTGTAGTTCAAGCTGAGTTAACATGCATGCCATTTCAGAAACCAAATTATCATTCCTCCATGGATTTAAGAACACATAAGGAAAGATGGTTACGGCACTGAAAGGAGGGACCATGTTGGATATCTTTACGCAGTGGATGGTTCTCAATTCACTGTCAGTAGGTCTTCTTTTCTGGATCTTTCTTTTGCATTACAAAGATTTTCTTGTTTATTTTCCTGGCTGAAGAAAATCAGATGAACTTACTGGTTACAATGATGCTGAAAGAAGTTTAAAATTTGTTTTGCATTCGTTGTATTCCACTCTTGTTCTTTCAGGGGTCCTTCACACACAGACACGTACTTTCTCAAAATTTTTTCTCCAACTTCTCGGAAATCGAGAGGTTCGCTGTGTGCAGTGCAGCTCGCGCCAGCAGCAGCAGGATCCACGTCACCATGCTCCACCTGTTGCTCTGCACAATGCTTCAATCCCCAGTAACACATTTCTCCACTGTACATCATAGCCAGCAGATGGATGTCACTAAATATTCCTGAAGAAGCCATTGATATTGGGAGATTAAAATGACAAAATTACAAATTGAAGAAAAACAAGACTAGTTACTAAACTCTAGGAAATTTCTTCTCAATAAGCATTTTCCCTTCTGAACAGCACTTAGAATAGCCAAGTGTAACTAGTAACAGAACCTTCATTTTCTCTCTATTTGATCCATAAAAAAAAGCCACTCCCCAGTTGCCCACAACATGCAGGGCTGCGCCAGGCTGAAGACTGGAGCCAGGAGCTCACTCCAGGTTTCCCACATGGCTAGCAGGCACCTGCATACTTGAGCCATCATGTGCTGCTTTCCACAGTGGGCACTACTAGAAAGCTGGACAGGCTCTGGGGCCAGGAGAGACAGGCCACACAGTGGAGGCTCAGCTCAATGTGCCACATGGAGGACCCCAATGTTTCCTTCTTACTGATAGTTTTTCCAAATAGCCAACATGTAATGAAATGTGTATGCATTTAAGGCACACAAAAATTTAGTAGAAAGACAAACATAGCTAATGTCAATGACCTTTGGGGTCAGAGCCCTTCACTTTCAGAGGGAAGCATTTTATATGGAATACAGGATAAATGACACTTTCAGATGGCACTGTAGAACATGCATCCCTGTTCAGGAAATTGCATCCTTTGTTAGTGTCCTAAGATACACTCCTTCTTACTTGTTTTTCAGGACACCGAAATGATAAAAGTAAACTCTGTTAGTCAAATCAGCTTCTGTAGAGCAGTCTTCTGGGAAGTCCCTTGTGACTCTTCCACCCGTGTTTCACTGGTCAGATTTTAAGCAAGTGTCTTCCTGTAGCTGTAAGAAAACCTAGGATATACAGTCCTTAACCTAATCATTTTTCAAATAAGATTAAAGCTTTCTTAATAAGAAAAGGAATGTTGGGTGGTAACTGCAAATTTCTGCCACAAACATCTATGCATCAGAAGAAGTTTAGGACCTGGGTATAGTGAATCATTTTGGTTTTAGACCTAAACGTGAGATCACCTACTCTTAACCATCTCCTATAAAAGGAGGGACTGAGTTCTTGGTGAACCGTGCAACCTGTACAAGATTACACAGCTACAAGTGATGTTCGATTATACATGCCAAGTTTGTTCTCTTCTGTCGCATTTGAAATTTTGATAAATGAAAAGAAATACGAGAAATTGTTAAAAAAAAAAAAAAAACTTCTTGGGAAAAGTTCTGGAATTTTAAGCATACTTTAATTCTTGGTGTATTTGTTTGTTAGCATCTCCAATCTTTTTCTATCTGAGCATGTTTCCTTGACACTAAACACTTGATAAAAACCCTGCAGGCAGTGATTTAAGTGTCATTAACATAGGCCTAGCTAGTGACCCAAAGTTGTTACCTTCTGTTTATTCAGACAAATATCATAGACCAGCTTATTAAAGAGTTCCCCCAGTAGGCACAATTTTTTTTTCTTAATAAATCTGGAGTATTCTGATATGCTTACGGAATGTATACATTTATTATCCCAGATAGCTAATGAACCAGATAGAGACTCTGAAAATGATCTTTGGGTAATCTCATCAGCCGCCCACCAGGAACGATGACATAGGGCTGTTAACCTAGGATACTGAAGCTAATGGTGAGGTAGGCCTTAAACGATATAGAAAACCACAGAAAAGTGGCCTGAATCACCCATTTCTATTATTTTCTTATTTCTAATTAGAAAGTAAGGTACCCGGATGGTATGGAATTGTTATATTCAGGAGGCCTGTGATACTAGTGTTTTCTCTTAGCTGTACTTTGAGTTCACTAGCCCTTAGCTTCAGTCCTTTCTTCAGCAGAAGAATCAAAAGCCTTAGGTAAGGGTCTGCTAGCATTTTCTGGGAACAAGGAGACCCATGTGGCAGTGACTTCTTACGTTCATCCCAAATAAGGATGGTCGATCAGACTGGTCTCTCCAGATGACTAGATCAGAAGCTGGGAAATGTCTCAGAGCCTGTCCTCCTTGAGCTTCTCAGAAACATGGGGAGAGGACTTCCTAATATTCTGAGTAATTCCTTATCATTTAGTGAGAAAATTTTATGAGACATCAAAATACTTTGTGGCTAAATCTTAGTGACCATTTACCTAATTTTATCAGAACTCGAAGTTTGTTTACTATGAGTTTTTTTTCCCTCAAGATATGATAATTTATACATAGGACACTACTTGTCTGTCATTGAATTTCCAACTTTTAAACTTACCAATTACACGTGATAAGCCTCTTGGCCGCATTTCTGAGCCTGACTCCTCTTTGAAAGTTTGGACATAGCCTTACAAAACAGAAGGCTTTTTAAAAAAATCATATCAGGATAAATCCAAAATTAAGTGGAGTAAGTAAAACTGCCATCCAGCTTTCACACCCTTGTTTTAACTACCCCCTTACTGATGTATAATATTGAGGTCTCACCCTGTTTTATGTATACCATTGAAGTTCCTCCCTTCCCTGTAGTCCTTTTACCCCACTGCTCAACCTAGAACCTGAATATCAGATCAGCTAAAGGACAGCCTGAGCTAGTATCACTACATGCCTCCATAGCTGAACAAGGCAGATTTCTGTATATTCTATGTCACTTCCTATTTCAGCAATATTTTGAAGTCCAGGAATTTGTTTTGAATAAGCTCCCTAAATTGTTGTGATGCAAGTAGGTTTGGGCATCACTGCTCCTAGAAGTTGCCTGTTTGCCATGTTTTTGTTTCCCCCGTGCATGTCACACGCAGCCCTCACTCTTACTTTGTGATATGTTCTTGCTCTTTTCATCCTCACCTCCCCAGGTCACATGCCCTTCCAACCTGGGATGTGTAGTTACCAAGGATATACTTAGGGCAAACATTAGTGTTTCACTAAAAAACTACACTAAGTGGGAAAATGAAGCACCAAGGCCATATCATATAAGCGAAGAGCGCGAATATATAGAAAAGCCACTCCTGGGAAGTAGGAAGTCTGAGTTTCGTATTGTTCATCTCTTTCTAATGCATCAGTATTCTAATGCATTTGTTTTCAAAGTGTAGTCTGTGAGCCAGTAGCCTGAGCTTTTGGGTCCTACAAGCTTGTTCAAAAAGGGCAGATTCATAGGCAGATAAGAACAAGAGCAGCTCATCTTGCTCAGCATCTTCTTCAAGTGAAAGAGCACTAAATGTCTACCTGAGGTACTGTCAATGTGTCATAGTGTGACACCTGGCTGGTCAGGGCTACGTGGGATGCAACATACACCAAAACAACATGATGGCATCTCTACAAAGAAGAGATTAGAAGTATGTTTCTATTTCACACAAAAAATATTTTACTCTTTAAATTTTTTACATGTCCTTTTATGACTTTTCTCTGTAAGCTAGCTTGAAATTAAATCAGAGTGAAGCTTAACTAGTTTCTTAAAACCATAAAGAATTTTAAATTGCAGTGTTCCAGGGGCCATTGCGGCAGATTGGCAGGCATCCCTACGCTGCCAGTTTCAGTGCTGGTTGCTCCAGTTCTGACCTGGCCCCCTGCTCATGCTTCAGGGAAAGCAGCAGCAGATGGCCCGAGCGCTTGGGCCCCTGCACCACATGGAGGCCTGGATGAGGCTTCTGGTTCCTGGCTTCTGCCTGGCCCAGCCCTAGTCGCTTTGGTCATCTGAGGAGTGAAACAGGAAATGGAAGACTTCCCTCTCTCTACTTCTGCCTTTCAAATAAGCAAATAAATCTAAAAAAGAAAGAAAGGAAAAAGAAGAAGAAGAAGAAGAAAACTTTCAACAGATGACATTACCTGCGCTCAGTAACTTGGCTGTGTCTAGGTCTTGGAAAGCAACTCCATCATTTAACTGGACAGGACAGCGATAATTTAGCATCTGTAGCAAGTAGCCGATTCCATCAACAAGATACTAAATAGAAGCCCAAAATTGGAAGTATTATTTACACAGCTATATAAATTTCAAATATTTTCCCCATTCTTAACAGGAAATGGGCTGACGTACATACACATATGGCTATTACATTTTGATAGATTAAGGACCTACTGCTTCATTAATACAAAATATTGTCATAAGTATACTCTTCCAAATGCTGCAGTGAGGAAAACTATGAAAAACACTCAATAAAGAGCATTAATTTCAGTAACATGCTTGTCAAAATTATTGTTCAACAGGGTCAAAATAATGAAGATGCATTCAATGATTTTAAAAAGTTAAAATGCAGTTATTATAATATAAAAATATTATGACCAAACTTCCATATTATGACACCTGTATCCATACCCACCCACTTCGTATGCACATTTAAACTGAGCTGGAGTTCTCAGCAATGCAATACTAATACTGACATCTCGGATTGAGAGGTGTGGTCCTAACAGGAAAGATCAGAGGGCCACGCTTTTCAGGGAGCATGGTCCTGTGGGTTCCTCAGAAGTGACAGATGCTCAGTGTCCAACAATGTTTTCTTTGGGTCAAAACAATATGCTTATACATTAACACAGGTTATCTTGTATGTCAAAAAATAAACATTCAGAACTTTGAAGGACTTGTAGATTTTTCCAGCTGACAAAAATGCTCTCAAATGTTAACTATTTTATCTTTTAGACTTCACAATTCCAACTAGTTTAAGATGATGCAGCTAGGAAGTATAAAATGAGACTCTTTAATTCTACTACTCTTAACTACTGTAATGAAGGCAGCTCTGTGAAATCGGTGTCAACAATCTTAAATGTGTAAAGAACACTTGCTCACCTTTTTCAGCAGGGCGGATTTTCCGGAGAGCCATTCTCTCCTTTTTGTCAGAGAATGACAATACATATACAGCAGAGCTCCCCGCCGCCAGGAGAGGCACTCCAGCAGCTCATCCCCCAGCAAGTCGCTGTGCTGAAACACAGAAAACAGAGACACCTGAAGCCTGGGCAGGTCCAAGCGGAAACTCAGATGCCAGCAACTAAAAACAACCTCATGTCACAAGACATGCCCTTGGCATTGTTACTTACACAGGAATGCCTCATAGCCAATCAAGTAGAAGTAGGAGGGGCCAACATCAGGTTAAGTTATAACTCGCGATACCGACATTCTATGTCAGAGAGCAAGTTCAAGTCCCAGCTGCTCTACTTTGGCTCCACCTTCCTGCTAATGTGCCTTGGGAAGCAATGGATATAGGGCAAGTATTTGGGGCCTTGTCATCCATACAGGAGCCAGATGGAGTTCCAGGCTCCAGGCTTAGGCCATTTGGACAATCAGCAGAGGAAGACAGGTTGTCACCCTGTTGCTGTCTGTCTCTCTGTCTTGCCTCTCTTTTCTTTCCTCCTTCCTTCTATTCTCCCTCCATCTCCCTTTCTCTCTGTAACTCTGCTTTTCAAATAAATAAATCTTTGAAAATACAAAATATTTTAGGAGTAAATTCCTCTAATACATTTGAAATAAAAGTAATCTATAATATAATTAATATATTTCAGAGATATGGTAGTTGAAGTGAGATTGCATTTATTTCTACTATTGCTAGAATAAAATGAAAAAGCTGAACACACACACCAAAAAAAGTTTTAGTAAGTCAGTATCTTTACAGCTATCTGTCACTTAAATCTGGATGACTTTTTTTCAGTTAGCCTGTCTTGGCACAGACAGCCAAGAAGATACCCAGATAGAGAATCAGCAGGCAGTTACAGAAAAGAAACTGTCTACTCAGAAGAGTACCATGGCTAGAGACATAGAATTTGGAGTCATGTAAATGGAGAGCACATGAAGAGGCGAGTGGACCAGGTTGTCAAGCAAAGACAGAACAGAGGCTGCCAGAGGCATGGGGGAGCCATCCTTGGGGAGTGCCTATGGTCCAAGTTGAATAGAAGGGAAGTGTTAGAGAAACAACAGGAAGTTCCTCTTCTCGGAGAGGAACCAGGAGAAAAGGAGCATGCAGGGTGTCATGGGGACAGGTGAGCGATGCTACGAAAGGCAGCACATTGCTGTTCAGCAGGATAAGAACTGTAAAAAAGGACAGTACATTAACACACCTGTGAAAGGAAAAAGAGCAGAAGTAAGGAATGCCTGGGTTTAGAAAATGAGGAGGTGCTGCAATTACAATTCCATTATGCAAATATTCCAAAGCTACTTAGTAAAACACTTATTAGTAAAATAAGGTAGTTTGGCTGTGGTGTTTGAAATTTTAAGCTCACTCATCTTATTCCTTCTATATTAATTTGAAAAGAATCAAGAGTACAATCAAAAGGGAAAAAATACAAACTCTCAGAGCAGAATAGCAAGAACTAAGAGGACTCCACCATAGTTTGTAAAAATGCAAAACTTACTTTTGGATACATATTATTTTCTTTAACCAAAACTTCCGGTTCTGAAAGAAAACGGATCAGTTCTTTTACTTTCTGCGCAGAAAAGTCCTCTGGAAAATCTTCATCTACTAACTTGTTCTCCTCAAAATACGTCATGTCCAAAATAGCCTAAAAGGAGAAAAAGCTAAAGCTTGTGAGAATAACATATATTTTAGCAGAAATTAAATCTCCTACCATACTATGTAAGTTTGATAAAAGTAGGTAAAATGTAACATAATTTGAGAAAAAGCTTCCATGACTATTTTAGTCCACACATACTTTAAACCGAGTCAAATTACATGAGTAATTACAAAATTAGATATACACTGAATTAAAGATAATCTCACTTCCCTCAAAAACATAAAGTAGGATGGTTTCAGTGTTAATCACATGCAATGTAATTATTGAAAAATGTATCATTGCATTCTTTGGCATGTATGTGTACATAACCCCTTACATTTTCTAAGCACTTGATATCCTAAGGTCACCATCACTGATTTGGCAGAGTGAATCTTCAAAGGACTCACCTGCTCCCTCAGATGCAGAGCCACCAACATGATGCAGTTCAAACCTTCAGTCACCAGGATCTTTGATACAGGAGATACTCTGCAAGCACCTTAAAATTACTGCATCCTTTTTCTTGTTTTAATCTACTGGACTAAGACTAAGGAGAGTGGGTTCTAATGTCAGTTCTATCCCCAGTCACCCAACCAAAGACAAATCCTTTTTATCTCTGTTGAGCCTCCATTTTTTCACTGGTGAAATGATACTTTGGGATGAAATGCCTTCCCAGGCTCCTTGCTTGGAGGGAAAAACGAATCAACAAGTGAAAAGCCCTTATATCCTTCCATCCTTCCATGGCACATAGTCAGTGATCCTTGTTACTGTGGAAAAAACCTAGCTAAAACGAGAGCTCATCATGCTATGGAAGATCTGTTGATTCAGAACCAAGACAGGGCTCAATAGAGTCTGGGAGATTTCAATCTGTACCTCTAGATTGTTTGGCTTATTCTTGGAAAGAAGTTAAAATGTTTAGAACACTTTGATGTGAAAGACTTGACATGATGACATGCATCCTATGGAAAGAAGCAGTGAGTGCTCAGAAAGGAAATGCAGTGCCGGACTTCGCTGGAGCTTCCCAATAACTGTTAGAGGCTCATTCAGCCAGGACAAGTGAAAGCAGAAATGATCTTCATGTAGCTCCTGGGAGAGCACACTGCCGGGCATGTGAATGCTTTGAGTGCTATGGAAGCCTAACCAGGTTTACTCTGCTTTCTCTCTAACCTCATCTTTACTAGTCCTTAGCAATCAAGAAAACGTATATGGAAAGCACTCTAACTACGGAGTATTACAATAATGTTAGTTAATGCAATGAATTATGGTCTTATGTCATCTTGCCACAGTAGAGTTTGGAAACATAGGTGCTGTCACAAAGAAGCATCAACTTGAAATGAAAATAAACAAGGAGAACAGAAAAATCTATGGATGTGCCTGCCATTAGCAGGAGAAATCATATGCAGAATTCTAAAGTGCATTTCAAAGAGAAAAAACATCAGGACTTGAGCAATGCCTCCATTACTATTAAAAAAAAATTAAATAAAAAAGAAACCATTTTGTATGTCTTTCCTGAATTTTTATTTTTGAAACACTTATGTATTTTCATTTCAAAGGCAGATTTTACAGAGAAGACTACAGATAGAGGTTTTCCATTCCGATTCACTCCCCCAAATGACTGTAACAACCAGAGATGAGCTTATCCAAAGCTGGGAATCAGGAACTTCTTCCAGGTCTCCCATGTGGGTGCAGAGTCCCAAAGACTCTGGCCACCCTCCAATGCCTGTCCAGGCTACCAATAAAGAGCTGAACTGGAAGTGGAGCAGCCATGACAAAAACCGCTGGCTGTATGGCATGTCACTACCATAGGATGAAGGATTAGCCTGTCGTGCCAAGACAAAGGCGTAGCCCCGTCTTTTCTTATCAATCCCACTAACAAACTTTACTTTTTGAAATACTGCCTCAGTACATTGGCACCTGCAGAGGACACCTGGTACCATAACAGAGAATGGAGGACAGAACAAATCGATCAGCTATCCCAGCCAAGCGCTGACAGTGAATACCTGGGCAAACGGAGACTCTAAGGTGGACTAAGTCAGCCAGTGGATTCTGAAAGACTTCATTGCGATTGGAGTGATAACACTGACAGCAATATGGAACTGCTGAGCTAGCAAAATCACTCGAGCAGGACTCTTGGAGCATGTCCCACAGGGGACCCTGGGATGGTCGGGAGGCTGGGTATGGCTTCTACCCTTATCTCTTCCTTCCCCCAGATACAGGAGGGGAAAAAAGAGATTGTCAAAATAATGGCCTCACCCACTTTCCTCCAGCCCTTGACCCTTTGCACCCTAATCAACTATATAAAAAATATCAAAAATAAAATTGAACACTGCCTCAAAGTGTGAGGTCTATATGCTTTACACAATTTTTTTTTTAACTGAAGTCCTTTAAATACAGAACAAGTCAATGTACTGAAGCAGCTGAGTGCGTCGGTGGACCAGGAGGCTTATCGGGAGCAGGAACACTTGATGCAGAGATTCATCTTGGAGCAACTGAGTGCAACTGTTACACCTCCTTCCTCCCTACCTCCTCCGTCCTGAAGAGCAGAAGGCAGCCCTAACCCCAGTGCTGTCTGTGTCTTCTCACCTTTCCCAGCGTAAATAGCTAGGTTACTCCCAGCCTTTCTGCTTTCTTCAATTTTAATTCACATAAGAAAAACAATTCTAGAGACTGCTACTTTCACCCAATTTAGTGATTAAGGAGAGCTTTGTGCACCCTGGCTTGTTGGGATGTAAGTCTGTGTGTGTCATCCTGCAAGTGTGGATGATGGCCGCATGCAGATTAAATTATTTCTCCATTAAGCCTCTCCTGGTTCTTGGATCAATCATGACACTGTAATTCCACCTAAATTTTGGAGTCAGCCACTTAAAGCAACAATTGTAGCCTCATGCGAGAGTCCCCATCTGTGTTAGTACCTGTGTGTAAAGTTCCAGAAGACTTGATGGATTGGAACATTCTTTCTCTTCTCCACACAGGAGTTTCAATTTTTCTAAAGCTGCAGAGGCCCGAATTAAAAAGTGATCTGGAAGGAATAAAAATATAATAATTTTACATAGTTTGAATGCTATTTAAATAAAACGTCATGTACCTGAAATGACAAAATGATTTTCTAGCATATAGAGAAACCATATTATAGTAATATTTTTTTGAAATAAGAAGCATATTATACCAATTAATCCTAGTTAAGTCAATTTATCATGAAAATCTATTCCAGCATGTCAATCTTTCTACATTTACTGTTGCCATTTCTTTTTTTTAGAATCTTTACTTTATTTTCAATATTGATTACATAGCCATGTGGGCCTCTGATTAGGGTGTGGAATGTTGAGGTGACACTGCTGCCATTTCTTCATGCAATCTATGGTCTCATAATGACTCTCTTAGATGTTGATGCAATCAGAATGTGCAAGTAAACTGAAAATCCCATACCAGAATAGTATAAACACTATACATAAATGCATAGAAAGATTTTTACAGAAAACTTTTTTTAAAAAATTTTATTTATTTTATTGGAAAGGCAAATTTATAGAGGAGAGATCAAGCGAAAGATCTTCCATCTGCTGATTCACTCCTGACATAGCTGCAAGAGCCAGGAGCACTTGAAGGCAGAGGATTAGCTAGTTGAGCTACCATGCCAGCCCCCACAGAAAATTTTTAATTTCATAAATGCACTTGTAAATGTAAGCTTTCACAAATATAACTAAAAAAAAAAATGTCAAAGCAAATGCCTTATAAAATGTCAGCACTCTGGGCAGTTATCTTTACCATGATTGTTTTTATAGCTGTTAAACAAAAATTCTATAATGCATTTCTGCTTCATGTTTAAAATTTAGAAATGAGAGACAGAAACCTAGAGGGCTCCTCTCCCCAGAGGCCCTTGTTCACTAGTGACCAAATGAGGACCCCCCCAAGGGTTCCCAGCAAACTCTAACCTGTACGGAGATCAGATATAGATGCTGCGAGATCCACTCTCCCCTAAACTGAAAGCTACTTCTTTGGCTGGCTTCCCATCCCTCCTCAGCCCCAGAAGCACACCTACACAACTCAGAAAAAGTTACTGTGACCTGAAGTCTTCCGAGCTTCCTTAGAGATGAGGTTGACATTTAACTTGGCAGTTATAACTTTAGATGTAAACATTTACACCGAATTCGCTAAAAACACTGCCAAAGCAGTGCCAGGTCAATCCATAACATTATCATGGCTTAGGGTGCGGAGGCTGCAAAGCTGAGATTTTTTTTTTTTTCAAAGCCCACAAAAGTGCACTATTTTTACGATTTAGTCAAAGTCCTGAGCAGAAAGACAATAGATACAAGTAATTGTTAACCTCTGGAAAGCACCAGATTACACCTGCTTACACAAAAGGAAGGAACAAAACCTGGCCAGAAACTGGGCATTCTTAGATGGCATGATGTTTAACTAAGTCTGATCTAATTTGAAAAAAAAAAAAAGAGCAGGAACTAGCAAGTCCTGTAACCTAATAAAAATATAGTTCTATTAAAGAACAACATTTTAATACAGATTGTTTTTATTGTCAATGTCAATTCAAATAACGCAACCTTGTTTTAAGTAAACTTTACAGAGTGAGATAGTCTTGTTGACAATTCTTTAATTAGGTTGAATTGATTTCACTACTGACTAATAGCTCATAACCTGGACCACTGTCTTTAGGACTGCAGTAAACTTAAAATCTTGACAAAGGAAATATATGCAGCAACATGTTTGTTATTCCTGGGTCTCCTTGGAGGTGAACTGGATACATCCTAGCAACAGTTCCCAGGTTCTGGGACCTCTACAGGTTTCAAGGCAGTCCGTGGATATTTTTGAAGAAGACACCTTAAAGGGAAAAATCATGTGGCAGTCTTCGCTGGGTATTTTGAAATACTTGGTAGTATGTTGCTGTTTCTATTCAACAGACTCGCCAACTGTTCAATCGCTTGGGAAAATGTCCCCTCTCCTGTGTCTGAGGACACGGTGATGGTGCATAAAAAGTTTAAAATGTATCCAAAGCAAAGGCTCAAAACTAACCCAAAAAAAGGAGTTCTGTAAAACTGAGAAGGGACGAAAATAAAATGAGACTGAAAACTGGAAGATCAAGGTAACTGCCAATTTTTCAAAGGAAACTGCTCAGGCATTCCCAGAGCCCTTCCCTGAAATCGTCTGAGCTGCACCTGCAAAAGCCCTTCTGCAAAAACCCAAAATATAAACAAACACAGAAACAACCCGGAAAGAGCCACTGCTGAACCCGCCCATCTGTCTTCGCTGCCTGCACAGCCATGGTTACTCACTGGAGGACCAACAGTCAGTCTGATCCTCGATTTCAGCTCTCCTGTGTCCCCCGTCGCCCCAAAGACAGTACACAACCGGCGGAGACGGGAGCAGGGACAGGATGGCACTAGTTAGGAAACGAAAGATTCTGCAAGCACAGGCTTTGGCTCTGTGACTTCCGGCGTGATGGGCAATCGATGCATGGGGTGGTCAACAACAAACTAAAGATCTTGGGGTAGCAGTGGCCTGGGACCCCTGCACCCCGGGGTCTGCAGGCCTCGGCCGCCCGCACTGACGGCCTTCAAGCGTCAGCCCTGAACCATCGTGCGCCAAGCCCGCCGCCCTCTCCTCGGCTCCCTCACCGTCTTCACCGGCGGCTTCACTTAGCTGCTGTATATGGGCCTGAGCCAGGTCCCCGAGCTCTTCCACTCGCCTCACCACAGAGCACCCTGCGGCCGCCATGGCCACAACGGGCGGGCGCGCCCCGACCACGTGACCGCGCCGGCCGCGATCACCTGATCCCCAGGCGCCAGCAAGGCGTGGGGGCGGAGCTCCTGTGGTTGGTAGGCGGAGACATCAGCCCCGGAAGAAGGTAGACCCCGGCCGGCAGAGGTCGTTCCGGGTTATTTTCCCGACCGCCCCGCCCATTCGGATGCTCATAATCCTGTGCCGATTGGAGGGGCGGCTCTGACGTCAGGACACACCTGTCTCCCGCCCCCTCATCTAAACCAATCAGGAATCAACCCTGGCCTCACGCTGAGCCAATAGGAAGTCCCGGTAGCAGAGCGGCTGGCGGGAGGGCCGAGAGGAAGGTTGGTGGAGAAGACTGTGGACTGAAAAGGTCGTGTTCTTACAATCCCGTGGTCATAAAAGGAAAGCCTGGCGGCCTAGTGTGTCAGGTCAGGAAGCTTCCAGTATTCGTCGCTAAATACCGCCTAAGTCTGAATTTTAGTGAAAGCACGTTAAGCAGCTGGCAACCACCAGTTGTAAAAAGTGGCGGCCGCAGCACGTCCGCATACTCTCCTTTAGGGCCTTGTCACTCACCCAACTGGGCGAAGCACGCATCCCACAGGTCCAACTTCCGCTCTGTATTCCCTGCCGCCTTCTTCCTTCGCCCCAGTGAGCAGGTTTAATTCCAGGTGATAGAGACTTTGGGAGAACAAAGCAGGCTCTGGAAGGATTCTTTGCTTTAAGTTCACAGTGAGGTAAGAATGAGTGAAAACAGCAAAGAAGACAGCCCCTGAATGGTTTCACTCTTTAAAAAAAAATCTGTTGTTCCGTGTTCGTGCTCAGTAGGCTCTGGGGTTAACACTGCTTTCTGGCTCTGAGTGGCAGGTTGTTATGGCAGGGAATTCAGATGGCGAAATCAGGACGGAATCCGGGCCAGATGTAATTCCAGCTGCTCCAACGTGCCCTTCATTTTTGACTCCTCCAGCTTCTTCTGCTCCTGTTCTTGATTTTTGGCCTGAAGGCCTTGTCTCCTACATTCACTGCTGGAACTCCCTGGCCGTCTCAGGGGGCTGCTTCCTGCCGTCTTGGGAGCTGAAGTTGACACATGCTGTCCCTTCTTCTCTGCCTGCTTTCTTGACTGTCATCAAGCACATCTTTTTTGTTTTTGTTTGGGATTTTTTGTTTGTTTGTTTGCCTGTTTGTTTTGTTTTCATATTTTCAAAGATTTATTTATTTGTATTGCAAAGTCAGATATACCGAGAGGAGGAGAGACAGAGAGGAAGATCTTCCATTCGATGATTCACTTGCCAAGTCACCCCAAGTGAGCACAACGGCCGATACTATGCCGATCCGAAGCCAGGAGCCTCTTCCAGGTCTCCCACGCGGATGCAGGGTCCCAAAGCTTTGGGCCGTCCTTAACTGCTTTCCCGGGCCACAGGCAGGGAGCTGGAAGGGAAGCGGGGCTGCCGGGATAGAACCGGCGCCAATATGGGATCCCGGGCGTGCAAGGTGAGGACCTTAACCACTTGCGCCACCGCGCTGGGCCCGTCACACGTGGACTTTTGAATAGGGAAGCATTGATATAAATCGGTGTTAAAATAGAGTATTTGAGTAAAAATGGATTGACCAGCACGAAGTAAGAACACTTTAAAGAAAAAAGGAATAGCCTCTTAGAGAGCAGCCGATACCACTGGGACAATGATTCAACCCTGTCAGAGAGCTCAGAGCCGTAGGTCACTGTAGAACAGAGAAGTCACTTTAGTCCACACCATTGTAACATCTGGAACTGCATCCTGGGGACCTTGCCAGACATCTGTCATCTAGTGCGCCAGGGGAAGCTATTCTTGGGGAAGTATCTCCCAGGAGTCACTCTGATGCAGAACTGCCCCAAGTGGATGCCCTAAGTAGCTGCTGGCTGCCAAGCTCTGCAGGGCTGCAATGCCAGAGGAGTGGCCTCTGTGGAAGGAACGACTCTCACCACTCTGGCTGGGCTTCATCAGGCCATAAGAAAGACCAGGAAAAAACACTGCGCCTCCTGCAGTGGTTCTCTAGCTCCCTCTAACTGTCAAAACGTACCATTGTATCAGCAGACAATGGGAAATGCTGAACCGGCCCAGGCAGGTTTATATGGCACACTGTGGAAGAACCGAGTAGGCACAGTGGGTCGGACGTGCAGGAGACCCTGAGCTTGGAAAGAGCTCGATAGTTTGGGGGAAACAAAGGCCAAAGGTGCCAACGGTGATTAGGAAAGATCCGGGATAAAACTTTGTCAGAGGTCAAGCTAATCGCCCCCCCCCCCAATATCATTTGAAAAGTTAACTTCAAAAAGCGCCGTTCCACAAAGAGCAGATATGACTAATGGCAGCTGAGTTTTTCCAGGGAACTAGGGTTCTTTCTCTCCCGACGTGTTTGTTGCTTAACTTTCCGCTCATAGGCTCCTGTTATCTATATCTTAAAACCCATCAGAGTCTGGATTCTGTTGCTTGTGATCCAATGAACACAATGTAACAGGTAGGAGCCAATCAGACAGTCATGCCTAAAGGTTGCGGACCTTATCTTAAGTGCAACAGGAAACCACTGAAGTCGTTTAGCAAAGAAGCCGTGTGATCAGATGATCATAACGCAGCTCTGGCCACTGTATACAATCGCAGCAGGGGTGTCAGAGGAAAGCGTGTAGTTCGTTGGGAGACTTTGTTCTATGCGTAAGAACTGAAATAATTGCTGTTAGAGTGGACGGTGGAAACAGAAAGAAGTGTCTCTGTTTGCTATGCTGTGCAGGTAGATCAGCAGGACTGAGTGACTGGACTAAAGGCGAAGTGGAGGAGAAAGACATCAGGGAAGCCTCCAGGCTTCTGACCAGAGCCGCATGGCTGCTGAGAGTGACACCATTTCAGACAAATCTGGAGGGAGAGATTGGGAAGGGAGATCAAGAATTCAGTCCCCATAGTTTCTGAGAATCTGCATAAACACTGATGGGATGCAGCTCTTCCCCTTCTTCTAGTGAGGCAAAGGACACTTTCATCTTAGGTTTTATGTTTTCAGAGAGGGTTCCCTGTGGGCATACGGACAGTTAGGAGCTGCTCAAGTGTCAGGATTTGCAAAAATAAAGGCATGATAAACAGGGCTTGAATACTGAGAACTTACACTATATAACTTAATTCTCTAGTAAGTTAATTATGGAACAGAATAGAAAGGCTGCTGTGCCATTTAGGTTTTCTGTCTCATTTCTACCTTAGAAGAAACTGTTGCCAGCAAAGCTCGGTGGATTCTTTACTCAGCTTAGCATAGAAATAAAAAGCTGGAAGCAAACAAAAGCATAACAGAATCTTTATTCGGAGCAAAGCGACAGGAAAGCACTGCCCCACAAAGAAGTAGCCAAGTGGAGGCTCTGACCGGACACTGGCTTTAGGGCAAACGACTTCGGCTTTTTAAGAGTTTTGTTTGTTTTCTGTTCCTTTCTCGCAGTCATGAACATAGAGAAGGAAATAGATGAACACAGGCTTCTGGGCTTTTATCAGGTGTCTTGAATGAGAGGAGGTCCTGAAGGAGAGTATTCAAATGATTCTCTTGTCCTGTTCTGGGAGCCTGGCCTTCTCCCTCCCACTCCCAGAGTCTGGGCAGAGAAGCAGAAGGGAAAAACTCCCTTTCATCCCCTGGTTCATTTTCCATGTGGCTGCAACAGGCAAGAGCTGTACTGAGCTGATCCAAAGCCGGGTCTCCCATGGGGGTGCAGTGTCCCAAGGCTTTGCGAGCAGCGTTTTCCTGCAGGCATATTGGCTGCCCTAGAATTATGTTATGTTGTTGTTCAGAAAATATGCCCCTGGTTAACCTGTTGCTTCCAAACTCTGTGCAAGGACACTCAAACCCACTCCCTGCCTTTTGTGCAAAAGAAATTTCCTCAAATCAGAAAGTCTGAAGGCCAGGGAAGTCTTCATTGATGTTCCTCTGAGGGATTGAAATGTTCCTTGCCAATCTGCAGATCACATCAAGGTCTCTCATTCCTGAGGCCCTCCAAGCCCGCTAAAATCCTGGCCACACCTTCAAGTGGCCCAGCCATTCCCTAACTGGTTGAGAGACTATACATGGGGAACCTCTTCCCTGCAGGTTCCAGCCCAGACAAGGAGGGGTCAAGGAACTCTTAAAATCCCAAGACGCTTCTGAAAACCTTAGGTGTCTCTCCCTCTCTCCTTCAAAGGGGCACCCCATCTCCCAGCCCTCCCCCAGGAGGTGAGTTTCACCTTCCCTCTTCTTTCTATATTCACCTGGTCACTTTTGAAATAAAACTTCTCTGTCTGCAACTGATTCCAGGCTTCGTCCTTGTATGCTCAGCTGCGGAAAGAGCCCACCAAGCCTTCCTGGTAACAATCCCTCCACCTGGAGAGCCTGCTCCGAGGGGTTAACACCCACTCCAAGGTTAGGAATCCAGAAGCAGACGACTGGCATGCTGGGGAACCCCCAGAGCTGCCTCCTGTCCATGGCTAGTGAGACTTTAATCAGAGCTTCCCTTTGGTCAGGGAGTAAGTCTCTTTATCCTCTCGATGATATAAATTGCAGATACATTAACTTCAGCCTTTTCCTGTGAGACTCTATAACTTGACTGCCAAAAAAACAAAGTAGTGATCATATGTTGACCTACAGTTCCCTTTATTTTGATAGAAACCTACAGATCATGCTCATATTGAAGCAGAATCCCTTCCTGAAATTTTACTTTTCTTATGCCTTTGGCTAAAATTTACCTAAAACTAATTGACTCTTTTAAAAATATTTGTAGTAGCATGTTTCAATACTAATGATTCTTCATTCAGGGCTCTGATTGTGTCCATTCCAAGGTAAACAGGTTTTGAGATTCCAGGCTCTGAGATAAACAAAGAATATCAGTTCCATCTAACACAATGGTAAATAACAGGTGGATTAGGAACCACTGGGTTCATGTCTTTGGTTATCTGCCTAATGACACTCAGATCCTGTGCAAAGTGGTACTCATTGGTTCCTGGGTTTTTTTATAGGCAAAATGGCAATATTGTGAAATAAACAGT